TTTCTTTCACAGCTTCTCACTATACTCGTTCCTCTGCTCTATGGCTCCTTCACGCTGTTGGCAGACAGCGTGAGAGGGAGAGAGAGACTGCCGCGGCCCGCCACGTGGCAGGCTCCGGACCTCCGTACCCGCGTGGCTTCCACCTTCGTTCCTTCCAGCTCTGACCACGTGCTGTCCGTCTCCACCCCTTTTAATCCCTGGCCCACGTGGTGCCTCGCAGCCAATCCTCGGCCACCTCCCTGGAACCTTTCAGAGTCCATTCTATGGCCCCAAAGCCACGCCCCTAACTCGCCTCCCCATTGGTTGCGGCTGAAGCCAGCAGAGCCAATCATCCTCTTCCAGGTGTAACCTTCACATTACATTAGAGCTGCGCCCCTGGCTCGACTCCCCATTGGTTGTGGGCTGAGGCCGGCAGAGTCAATCATTACCATCCAGGTGTAACCAATTAATATTCCAGGTGTAACCCATTTATCATCCAGGTGTAACCTCACATTACATATGTAAACATACAGGATCCAAAAATAATTGGACAAGCTTGACCCATAAACATAGGTGTGTGTCATTTGTCTGCAGACAGATTAATCGTAACACTACTAAAGAAATTATTTCCAGCAGCATATGTGTGGGTAAATAGGAATACTGCTAAAATGTATGTGTAATGACATAGTGACATCTATTGGGTGGAAAAGGGAAGCATGGATACAGGCACCAATAGAAACATCATCCAATCCCAAAGGGAGAGGTATCTGGGCCAAAGGTAATGGGCGGGACTGGCCGAGATGATCCGGGAACTGGCCAGAAGGTTCCGCGAGAGGGCGTGGCCGGAGGCGGAGCCTAGCCGCGCCTGCGGCAATCTCAGCGGAGGCGGACTCGTGGTCGGTGTGGGGAGCCTTGGGTCCGGATTCCGTCACTGCTCACCGTCATCTCTCTCCATCCTTCGGCCACGTGGCAGATCTCCTGCGAAGTCCCATCACCCTCGCCGGCACGCTGTCAACCCGCGGCAAGGCCGGGAGTGGGCGGACAGAACCACACTGTGGGATCGACCACGTGTAGCCTGTAGGGATGCTAATATCTACGTCTGTACTTGGAGAAGGAAGAGAATAAGGTTGGCCTGTGGTGTGCCCGAATGTGAATAAAGAGAGTACCCCTCTACACGACGTGTCACGGAAGTCGCTCATTACATATGTATATAGCCCCATCTCCGTGACAAATTCAGAACATAAACTCTGCATGTTCCACAATCCCCCAGGGCCGTGTCCGACTTCCTTCTTATACGCTGTCTCAAACATTGCCATTGACAGATGCTCCCCACTGTGGCCTGATCTGTCATCGTAATATCAGATGCTACCCCTAAGAGCTGGTGACAGTACAATTCAAATATAGGCCCTAACTTCATCTCCCTTGCTACATTTTCTCCATTGCCCGCATTTTGGAAATGACTTATTCAACCTGCTAGACTTATTCAACGTTGAAAATATTTATGAAAGTGTATCACGTTCCCATTCGTCACAATCAGTAGAAACACACGTGTACTACAACCGACATCATTTCATGATTAATAAAAAAAACTGCACTGCCCTCAACTACGTTTTGATAAAAAAAACACCCCTAAAGACTACATTTAAAAAAAACATTTTATACATTCAAACAGCATTTTGTGGAATACACTTAAAATGTAATAAATTGACCATTTACAGTTATGTCAATCCACTGCTGGATGAAAGCTTCCCAATACTTGTGTCAGTAACCAGGGTAGTTTGACCATTCTTCACCACAATGGTCAGTATGGGTTGAAGGATGTGAGGGGGGGATCAATTAAGTTATCACGCACAACTGATGTTAGCCATGCTTGGTTATAATTTAACTCTGGTGGAAGAGTTCATAGCGCACCACTGCACTCCCCAAATACCACTCCATTAATATATTTCCACTTCGTTTCAATCAGAAAATATGAGTCGTGTCTTTTTGCTTACCATTTACCCTTCACAGCCTCCACAATGCGCGCATCGATTCATCCCGGTTCAGTGAACAGATGACCTGTGGCGATTCAAGGTCATAATTTCACTCAAGGGTTGATCGTGTCGTTTTCAGTCGTATTGGGATTGTGTTTCTTTATACGTCTTCTTTGCAACGTTAAGCCGAATTATAGCATTAGCATAACGCATGCGCGTATTGTACATTGTTATTCATAATAAAGGTTTTTGGGTTAGATCGCGTTATTTGTGTCGCAACCCTCCACCACCCGACACGGCCAATTAGTAAAACATGTGTCACGTTGACAAAAGACAAACAGTTCACTATTTTAGCCCACCGGTGTGTTGAAGAGTGGATCCACAACATTTACAATTTGAGTACGACGTTTCGCTGGAAGTTACATCCAGCATCTTCGAGCGATTTGCCAGAATAGTGAAGACATCCACCTGCTTCCGGTCTTAAATAGTGCAGGATGACGTCCTCATTGTTGAACCCCATCAGGATTCGAGATCAGAGGTGGGTGTGTATGCAATTCTGTAATAGATCAGTAATCATCCACTTAGCATGTGACGCACCTGTAAGGAATTGTTATAATAATGCATTATTTGTACACGTATTCTTGCATTCCAACATAACTGGTTTGCCGATTGGCACATTTTCCCACGTGATTGTGGGGTGGTTGGAGGCTTAGCTCGATTTGACATGATACCCACGCGATCTTAACCAAAAAGAAACCAATTGTGAATCCCATACATACTTGCACACGTTGCAATGCATTTACTGAGTATGAGTATATTTTAATGGACAAATCACTCTATGCCCATTTGTTACGAATACGACAGCAGAGCCATTGTATTTAAACCATTACTTCAAAGTTTCTGCAGCTGCTCCGACTAATCCAAGTGCACTGTGCTATGCAGGTAGCTTTGTGCGGTGTTTACGGTTAAATACTGCCATGTTTCCGCCATAAACAAGGCAAATAACTTACTATACCTTCAACTTAGGCTCCTAATCCATAAACGGAAGCTGAAATTGGTCCCATCTCAAAAGGCAAGAGGTGACTGGCAAGACTGGCACTACCATTGCGTTACTCCAACTACCTTGGAGTTACCCGACTCTTGGTACTTGGCAAGGTTTTGGCGTGTGTGCTTCCGGCAATGATCTGCCATCGACTCAGTGGCCCAACGTCTGGCTTCACAACAACAAAAAATTCAACGGATGACTGGACTGTGTGCCCTTGCTAAGAGTTTGTGTCGCAACCCTACAATTTTGGCAAAAGCTCCTTGCAGCCTGTGTTGATGTCAGGAAAGCATTCAATATGGTAGGTCCTGCAACGTCATGGAATTCCGACAAAGATTATAATTATTACCTCATAGCTGGTCTGTATGCAGAAAGAAACAATGCTGCCATGTGGTAAATATGCCTCTGTTTTTTTCCCAGTGAATTCTGGGGTGCGCGAGACGCGTGTACTTGCCCATGAAACCGCAACTCACGTGGGGGAGGTGCTTGCTTGGGGAGCGGGTCGTCGTCTGCGTGGTGCGTCAATTTACAGATTTGCTAAACAATCTTTCGTGAGCCCCCGAGGCCCTGGAAATTAAGTTGTTGGATTTGAAGGTATCCTGGGTTAAAGACGAAAATTCTGCCTCTTCGTGGCTTTGTACAGTTTTTGCAAGTATGTCGTGAGACTGTTGAGTGATGGATTGGTTTACTTACCTTGCAAGTGTTGCCCAAAGCAACGGAGATTCAGAATCCAGTCTCAAGACGACTCAATACTGCCGTACGGGGTAATACAATTGCTTAAACACAGTGATTGGCCTTTCTGTTGTCTAAGCAGGATAGTTTCATGTTTGCTGCTATCATAGCAGGACTGTTCCATATTTTCAAGGTTCTTGTGCTTTGTCTTTCTCTTTGGAGCCAAGATGCAGAGGCTCATTGATTGGATCGCTGAGGGCACAATTAAACTCCTATGTTACCAGGTCTCTTCGCAGGATCTTGGGGTACAGATGGGATGATTCTGTCTCTCACCAAAAGCCACTGGAGGAAACTCAGATGCGGTACTTTGGGTACGTGGCTCGTTTCCACTTGGGTTGGCCATGAAGGTCTGTGCTCAATAATCTTATGGCTGGAGGAAGGCCGAGGGGTCACCACCCACCGACCCGATGGCTGTATCAGATCAACCGTCAATGTTGAGCTGTGGGTATAGGCAGGGACCTCACTTGGTGTTTTTCCAGGAAAAACACGAGGAGTTGACACGGGGGGTGCTCCAACATGCCATCTCGGCTTATGCTCCCACAATTGACTTGTTTGCGACCGTTTAAACCTGTTAAACTTGGTATGGCTATTAAGGTGACTAGGCCAGTTATAATCAAGTGAAGAGAGTGAACAAGGTTTCCCAGCTCAATGAGCGGTGGTGTAGTGGCGGTGGAAGTCACGCATTCCTAAGGTGAAATCTACAGGACAACCACTGCCCTCGGTAGACCACATAGCAGCTCGTGTCCAGGCCAGCTATTTACCAATAGGAGCCCCTTTCACATTAAGATTCCAACTGAATATAACCGGTTTAACATAATGCGACATTCAGCTCGTTGACGCGAATGTATTTAATGCTCATTCCGATTTGAAGGGACAATGCCCTTGCTATTAACAATGCATTTTCAATGCTTTATTTCTCCGAGAACTTACTGCATTTAAATAAGACGTGTATTAACTCAATCCGGTAACAACTTTGCTAATAACTGGTATTGTATATATTAATAACAACGCAACACCACTCATCTCTTCGAGTACAGTATAAACGAGACTCTTGCTATACACTTCATTTAGGTCCACTGGCGGTCAGGAAATATTGATGAAACATTCTGTTCTTCTCGTCAAAGTAACAAAAAACAACCACGTTATGTTTAATGAAGCTGTAGTGTATTGCTTAGGTTCACGCGAAGGAGCAACTATACACCACTTTGTAAGCTAAATGCATTTCCCATCACCGCTGTAAAATTTGTCACCAAATTCTGAATTTACTATTCAAGTGAGCAGTGCAATTTTATTCAAAGAGTTTTCATGTTCACACAAACATGTTATAAAGTTTGTATCAATTAAGGTCCATGGGATTTTTTGTGAATAATATTGGACTAATACATTTTTTGTTTATAAGACAGTTTGATAAATTTTAATATTAAAAAGCATTGATACAATCAAGAAAATGACATGCAATGTTAATTGCCTTTTGACAAAGTTCTTATAATTTGAAGTTTAAATTACCAAAGCTTTGATTATTTTAAATTAAATTCACAGTTTTTAATGTTTTAAACATAAACACACAGGACTGCCACCATCAATCCACATAGCGTATGGGGTCGCTACACAGAGGGTACCCTAATCTAACGTTGATATGTTGCATTATCAGCTTGATGTAAACATTTAAATCAAAATGATTCCTCGGCATTGACCGTAACGAATGACAATCGTAGTGCTACACAATGGATAAAACTTGCATTCGGCAAAAACCATGGACCTCTATCGAGTCATTGTGTTCTACTAAATCTATTCACTTCATGGCTCTGGCTATTTATGGCTTGTGATCAATCTGTTCATGGTTCAAGATGCCTTGCAGCTCAGAGTCGGGTAAGGCATGATGGGCAGGTATACACGTGAGACTTCGTATGGCCCATCGTTAATGCTTCGATAACATTAATGTAGACTTCATACTTTAAACACAGGGCTCGAGCACAGCCACTCTAGAGGCAAGTGGTACACTTTGTTGTCTCTGCGTTAAGAATTAAATGCTAACGGCAGACACCTCACATCACCTTGGAGCTATGTCAATCTGTCCACTCAATGAGGGTAAGCAGAGGTACCGCTCTTCCAATGCAGGTTTGTGCCCGGTTGCATAAAGCCTCTTAAGTCACTTTCCCCCTTCGTTCCGTATTCCTAAATGCTTACCGGTATGGTAACGATCTTTAAAGATACACAAAATACAAATCTGAAGAGAAAAACTCTTGAGAAAAAAAACCCCCATAAAGATTTTGCTCATCAATTACCCTCTGCATGTATGTTTTTTTTAATTCGGTAAAAAATTGCATAACGACACTCGATAATTTGATTGAGGCCTGTCGAGGTCCCTTAAGAAGGAACGCGTTAAAGAAAGTGGAGACCGCCTACAGAACACATAATTAGGAATGTGAAATTGTTTGGAGGATTTATGAAGACATAATCAGCTACATTTGAAAATGTTTCCTGTATTTTATTAGAGTAACTGGTTCGTAAAGGCTGTCTTTGCCAGGCAAAAGTTTTCAAAATATAATAATTAAACTGATATATTTTTATCGACGATCAGACACGAACTACTCCAAAAATGTCTTGAATCAACTTGTTATATTTGAAGACTTCCCCATCAAAAACCGCTCAATTGAAGGATTCCGTTATTTTTTTATAAGAAAGAATATAAATTAACTTAATACTCTGAGGGGAAGCTCCTATTTTTTTTTTACCGTTTTCGAATTATTCAGATTTGAACATCATAAAATGCGGATTTGTTTAGTTCAAAACGGCTTGAATCCAAAATCTCAAAAACAAAAGCTATAACAATGGTTCTCAGTTTAATTTTCTTTGCTGTTTAACACTCTCTCAAACGGAAAAAAACTGCAATCTTATATTTTGAACGGTTTCTGAATGATACCACACACATGTGTGTGTATGGGGTACTTAAAATGAGATTTGGGCTTTAAAATGAAAAACCTGTTATCTTCTGATTTTTTTTCCTGTTGATTGTGTCCAAAAAGCTACCTATGTACCAAATTTCAGCTTCCTACTTTTCCGGACAGTATCCGAGAAGTTTTTGAGACATACATATTAAGGTCTTTATTTATATAGATATTAACACTTATTGTGCACAAATATGCAAAACGAAAGTGCCCAAGTTTAATATAAACTTCTCGAAACGCATCCTCGTGAATCTGATAGTACGAGTTGCGTACAATTACCCTCAATTGTCGGTTTAATTGAGCTGCATTCATTCAAGTAATTTGGTTATTGCAACGTGCCATACTTTGTACGTTATTTAATCAAAAGCTCTTTCTGCATTATACATTACGCCACTTATTATTACATTCATAAGCATTGAAATGTTGTTTATGTCGTTATTACCACTATTCTTTTATTTATATATAAGTACATAAAATTCACCTATTCCATGACGAAAAATTTGTCTTGTTTAAGGTACAATGGATGATGCAGACTTTATATGCAACGCTCCCAGTCATTACCTCAGGCAAGAAAATATTTTCCTTAAGGTGTTATCATATTTATAATTTACACGACTATGTCAATCCACCACAGGACAAACGCCTCTTCCACGCTCTGTCGCCATGAGGGCTGCTTGTGACCGTACTCAACTACGTTGGCCAGTGCGGTTGGTGAAGGGGGAGGACAGGACAGCTTCAGACATAGCTCGCCACTGATGTTAGCCGTGGCTGTGAATCAAACTCCTGCAGCCGCGCCTGTAGTAGTGCGCCAACCACTACGTGACTACTGCACTTTAGGGAGGGAAAAAAAACTTAAGGTATTTTATGCAACCAGGAGTTTATAATTAGAAACTGATGAAATGGTGGCAACTGTAAAAGACAATGAGTAAGCAGGACATTTTACAATGTTATGAATACAGCTTTATTTCTGAATATCGTCTTTTTAAAAATGTTGGCGATGCTTCCATAAATTAAATTGTATAACTCTAAAATCAGAATTCAACCAAAACATTTATCACACCTACAGAGGAAGAGCCCTCCTGAAATGCAAGTTTGCTTAAAGATTAAACCAGAGATGTTCCCAATGTTGCTTTTTTCACCAAGCTTCGTAAGAGCTTTCTGGGCTAAGCATGTCTGGGGTTGTGAATCCTGCCTCTGCAAGAGCCCAGTCGCTTTTGCTTCAGTCGACCCTGCGGTGCGCTGGTGCCGACTCTCACTTGAAGCGGTTGAGGGGGGGGGGGGGCACGCCCCATCAACACGAGGAACGGGAGAGCGGCTAAAGTACTACTATAGCACTACTAGAGCACTACTGCAACACCTTGCGATTACAGGGAGCCAGGCCGGTACAGCGGGGGGGGGGGGGGGGGGGGCATGTGCTCGGCGATTGTTTATGTAAAGGGACGGGCAACGGTAATACTTCTTCTTTTTCCATTTGACGAAATGAATGGATGCTTATTGAACTTTAAAATACACCAGTGATATAATTTGTATTTGTAAGTATAAAAAAATGACAACTACTTCCACGTTTGTAGGATATCTCAGGCTTCCCCTCTGTGGACTACAAAAAATCCAGTCACTGTTACCGCAGTTACAAAACCAACATGCAAAATGTTAACTAACGCTAATTTTAATAATCTGTGTTAATGTTATCTTAAATTACACTTGCCCATTTCAGCTTAACAGAGATTATATATGGTTGAACTCAAATAACGATCTTTGGGCTTTTCGTAAGACATCACAAGTTCACCCATGCGAGGTTGCTGGTTAAAACTGCAATGGGCTGCCGATGGAATCCGTCTCAAACGAAACTGCGCTCAGACGCCGGTGCGTTCTGTACGTCCTCGTCCCTTATCCCAGCCATAGGGCAGTTTCACTGTCGGTGAAATCGCTTTAGAACAACGATAGAAATCCCAATGACCTTTTACATTAACAAATACAGGACATGTATGTATTATATAACCTAATGGTTGTAAGGAAACCCCAGCAACTAACCACTGGCTTGGATGGCTCAATTGGGATGCCATGCAGCTTGTGCTCTGCATGACACGTGTGCAGGTGGGTTGTATGTGTACTCGGATTTTTCTTGTGCGATGCCCATACAATGACGTGCGTTGTACCACTTATAATGACAATGCCACACTACCACTCGACAACAAAGCGGCTCGACCGTGTGTGTGTGTGTGAATGTGCTCGGCAGTCTGTGCCTGCCGGCGCGTCCGTGTTGCGCGCACGAACCGCGTTCGTCGTGCGCGTGTGGATTATTCGCGCATCCCCCTTCCCGCGTCATAGGCGGCCGATGACCATCACGTCAACCACCTCCCCCTTGCGCAGCTCCAGGTACTGCTCCGTTTTGGGCGGCAGCATCAGGAGGCCGTTGGCGCTCCTCATGCTGCTCAAGCGGCTGCTCAGCTGGTTGCCTGTGCCGACGCATCGCGCACACGCGCACGAGATTGAGGCCGAAGTGCATTATTCCAAGCGACAGTTGCAAGCCATGGGCTAAAATGTATGCAAAGTGTGAGACCAATTTTTTTTTTTAAACTGTTTCTGGAGCATTCAAATTGTCAGGGTGTAAAGCGCACAGAACGCACCCAATTTGATCAGATCCCGGATGCTGGGTAAGCGTTTGGATGGACAACCACCATAGTGGGGTGGGGCTACATGGTAGCAAATACAGAAAATCCCATTTTTGTACCGCACTTCTATACTCCCACATCTACGCCATCCCTCTTTACGAACCCGCGCTGCGCAGCATAGTGAAGTATGGTAACATGGATCCCCATGACTCGCATGGAGTGGGGAGGGGCCCTCATCCCAGCTGACTGAAAATAAAGGTTGTGCACGCGCACAGAGCAAAACTAAAATAAACCAGAATCCTATCTGCAACCTCATATTCCCAGCCACTGAGCTGAAACATGCAAAGCATAGATTTGGTCAGTGTGATTTAAGGTTACCAAAGCCTAATACAATGGACTCCACCTTAGTGCACACGCACAAACACAGTCTGCTAAAATTAAAAACCGTTCTGTTGATTCCATTTATCTGACATTATCTTACAATCTTCTTGGTTCTTTCGGTAAAGTCACGTAGAATGGAAATAACAAAATAATAAAAATAAAACATAATTAAATAATTCTCACGACGTTTCGGCCACAACGCAAGCAGCCGTCCTCAGGTGGAGAGCAGGTCTGTCGAGTAGACAGTCTGAATGACCCACTCCAGGCTTGGAGTGACTATTTAAGCTGGGATGGAGGGGGGAAGGGCGCCTTGACGAAATAATTTGCATATCAAGAGAAATTTAGCATATTGATGGGAAATGCAGATATGCGATTAGTACTACTTGTGAAATGCATAGGAGGTTTGGCTTTAAACCTGCATTTCCCATAAATGTGCTAAATTTCTCTTGATATGCAAATTATTTTGTCAAGGCGCCCATCCCCCCTCCATCCCAGCTTAAATAGTCGCTCCAAGCCTGGAGTGTGTCATTCAGACTGTCTACTCGACAGACCTGCTCTCCACCTGAGGACGGCTGCTTGCGTTGTGGCCGAAATGTTGTGAGAATTATTTTATTATGTTTTATTTTTATTATTTTATTATTTCCATTCTACGTGACTTTACCGAAAGAACCAAGAAGATGACTTCCTGCAGTCACGAAAGCTTTAAATCGAAATTATCTTACAATGTTTGATGCGTATGATTTATATGTATAAGCACAATGGATAAGCACATGCTATTATTGACCACAAAGGCAGGATGTGCTTTGTCAATCCACTGCTAAATGAAGGGCTTCCCATCCTGTTAGCCGTGAGTGGGAATTGACTTCAGGTTGCTGGCTTCATCGTGCAGTGCATGAAGCACTGCATCACCACTCCACCAAAAAAAAGGAAATTATTTTACGGACAGTCAACCGTAAAAAATGAAATAGTTTAAATATCGATCAATGAATTGTTGATTGTCTCAAGAATCAGCATTATTGCACAGACGTCATTTAAACATTGAGTTGTGAAAACTGGTAATCATATAAATTAGGATTTTAGAAATTCTGTCCCGAGGTCATGCAGAGTTGAATTTACTTCACTCACAGCAGCCTGCGGCAAGGCTTGTGATGCTGCTGTATGGCCTCTGTCTCCTGTCTGCTCTCCACAGCCAGGAGGCAGGAGCCTTATATATAATAATGTTCGCAATGTTTTCATGGCCACTGGAAAGCGAGCTGGCTCAGTTCGTGAAATTGGGCTCAACAGGCTGGCCTGCGTTCCCACGGCAGGTTTACCTGGCGAACGTCACACCAAGTAGGCTTGGCAAGAGGGTTTGTGATAGCTCACTGTCATAAGGCAGTCACATGTGCTTATCTGGGCTGACCTCAGAATCACTCAACGTTCACAGGGTCAAACATGGAACAGCGCACTTGGTCAATGCTGTTTCTCGCTTCGTTTAACTTCAAAGTCAGAATTTTTTATTTTTTTGTGAATTTAAAAGATTTTGTATGTCAGAGTGTTTCCCTCTGGCTATGGAGGGTAAGGAATTGGTGAGGGAGGAGGATCGATCATGAGTAGCTGAGCCCACACAGCCTCATAGTTCATCAAGCATGAGCAGGTGGATCTGGATGTGATGCTGATTCTGGAATGCACATGGGCCATGCCTGGGCCACCAAGTTTTTTTTTCTTTCAAGTTTTTCATTTATTAGGTATAGCCCTGTGAGCCATTCGGCTCTTGAATCGGGTGCAACCACAACAACAACAAAACAAAAACATGAACAAAAAAACATCTTAAAGTGAGTCTGGCTGTCAGTGGTTATGGAAAGTTATCAACATAGTTGGGTACTTATTGATATGAGGGTTGTGGTTGTTACAAAGGATGGAATTCAGATTAATTCCTATTATCTGTTGTGAAAGGTGCCCCTCTGTAACTTGCACCACCTTTTTTAAGCATTCAAGTCCACGTTAATTAAAAAGTAAAGATAACAAAATGTCTCGCCCATCCTCCACTCTGTTGACACCAAATTACCTGGTTCTAGGGACAACGATACCTGTAATATAGTGAACTCTACAAGACATCTCGCAGATACGTATCTTTGAAAAGTTTATTAAACATTTCTATGTAATGTAATGAATTACTATTGTGTACACGAGAATGTGTGCTGCTCACCGGTACTCTGCGCCCACGGAAGAGGCTCCTGGTGGTTCCACATGAGCACGCAGCGGTAGTACTCAGGTCGGGAGTCCAGCTTCACATCAAACGACAGCTGCAGCCAAAAACATGCACAGAAGTGCACATTTTCATCGATGTGAGGATGAAGCAGGCACGGATATGCAAACACAAAAATACGTGCACATTGGATATAAATAAGTCGACAAAATCACCGCAATAACGGCGTGTACACAAGTACACACAATCAAGTCTCTAGAGTTCTGAGATGGGCATTGTGTTTGAGTGGTAATGGGTGACATTGATTATCGGTGGTGTGAAACCAGAGGGGGGAGGTGGGAGACGACCTGACAAACTTGGCGAGGTGTGTGAGCAGCAGTGAGGCGGAGGACTGTTCACTACGTGAGAAGAAAGGATTCTCACGTACATCACATTTATTTATTTTTATGTTACCAGCTAAGGCCCACTGAGCAATTTAGCAATTTTTCAGAAGCGACCTGGCCACAAATGATAGCTCAACGAAGTGACTTATCATGTGGAAATCTATAGCAGCCAAATACTCGAAACTCATGTTTACAAATGTGGAAGGAAAAACCAGAGGACCCGGACAAAAAAATATGCAGCAGGCGTCAGGGTCGGGATCTAACTCAAGACCTCCTTCATACCAGGCGACATGAGTGATCATCGGTATTGCCACTGTGAGAGCGCGAAAAGCATGAGACTCTGTATGTGTAAAGCTATATCCATAAGGCATCTAAGGGAAACCTAGCACCAGATTAAAATGCTAAGAGTTACTGTCGTGCATGGTCGGATAATTGAATCCATATCACTGGTATCGCGGTGCAGTGTGCACACCGTTGTTTCCAGCACAACCAGAGATGTAACATATACAAGCACTCCTAAAAAGCCCAAGCACAATAAAACAACAGCTGTCATTTGCAGCTGTTTTCAATGACACCACCACACTTATTGTGCCAGGCAAGCTGCACTTTGAGGCTGCAAAGTTAGGAAGGCTCACTGGTAAGGAGTGACTGGCACAAGTGCAATATTTATGCAAAAGCCATTTCTATCCGATAATAATAATAATAGTACAATTTGTAACGCGCGCAAATTTGCAGACGTAGTGGCCGCAACTCACAACTGCAATACGCAAAAGTTTCTATCTAAACACGAAGCCTTGTACAATTGCGCAGACGCGAGAGCAGATATTGTGGTGAATAACAGTTTACGTGCGTGAACCATTATCAATCAAAACATTATTTAGTCAATAAGGTACCATACATAACAAAAGACTAAAAAGCGACGAACCTATAATATCACGCTACATTTGTTTTCATTAAAGCTACATATGAGTATAAAAGCTGCATATGAATATGCATATTTATATGCAGCTTTAAGTAGAAAACTGTATTAAACGTGATGAACTATCTCCTGTTGATACAAAAGAACACAGACCATTCTCAGAGCATAGCATTCCCAGGTTTATGAAGTACATTGTCCCATAAAAGAGTTTACATTGGAGTAAACGTGCTTCCCTATTCTAGACAGCATAGGACAATACTAAACTCTCTTGGCAACGACTGCTGGCATTCCAAATTATGGTAATTTTATCATCCCTGAAGGTATGATGGGCTGAGCCAATCCCACTAAATCAAGTGCTCTTCAATGGAACCACTTTAATGACACCATAAATTAAAAGAAAAGACAACAGACCATCCAGTAGGTAAATGAACCCACGAAACAAAAAACGACTGCCCAGAAAGCATCTTTCCTTACAGCAGTGGCCTGCGACCACCCAACATCGAAGTCATGGAAATCTGGGACAACCAGGGCTCAGATTTGATGGAGAAATTCAATAAGACATCCATAAATATATAAAACCAACACAATAATAATGATTTATCTCATTATTTCAATAACACATCTGAAAGAGACGAGTCTATTTTAGAAAAGAAGAAACGTTGGTTCAATGTCCTTTCATCCAGATATAAAGAGAATGAATGAGCAAAAATATAATTCTGTGTTTGCCTTTGCGGAGCCATGTTCGTTTGTAGAGAAACACAATAAAAACCTGCCATTTTACAACACACATCACAAGCAGCAATAAATAGATTTCATTTTTATTATTATTCTTCATAAGCATAAGACTTTATTAAAAAGTAAAATAAAAATTCACCTCTCTATAAATCCACTGCTGTATGAAGGCCCTCTTGCCATGTCAGTCAATATAGTTATTTGACCATACTTCACCATGCTGGTCAGTGTAGGTTAATTAAAGGGTTGGGTGGAACCCAGGACTAATTGAGATATCACTCACCACCGCTGTTAGCCATGACCAGGTATTTTACTCAGGTAGCCAGGTTCATATTCGTATATTTTGTGTTGTTCCTTACTATATTGTGTTGTGGTACTGTCATCGTTAATCTGTTTTGGTGTGTTTATTATGCCTGTGCTATTATGTGTGTATGAAAGCATATGTTTGGATCTGTGTTTTGTGTTTTTTTCATGGGAGAGCAGTGGAGCGGTGTTGCAGAAGTTAGCGCTATGCGCTACGAACCCAGAGACCCGAGTTCAATTCTCGCTCACGGCCAACACCAGTGAAAATTATATGAACTGGTCATGGGCCTGCTCTAGGTTGACCTGGTGCAGTGTGTAAATATCACCACTGGGGAAACAAAAGCAGCTGGGCGTAGTGCTGGACACCCCCTCATGTGCCATATCGACCTTTATAGGTGCTCGCTAACAGCACTTGCCCCAACAGACCTTTATCTGTGTTTCTTTTTAGGGCTGGTTTCTCTGGAGGAGACTCTTGAAAGATATTGCTGTTTTTGGCCACTGCCTTCCCAGAAAATATGGAAGCAACACTCACAAAGGATGCAACTACAGCATCTCCAATTAGCCTGTTCTATTCAATCATAATACCTGTGGGACTGTCCTGTGACCTCCTGCCAGAAAGTCAATTGCACTCACCATGGCCTCACAGTGCACAAGGCTTAGTATAAGCAACAAGATGTTACCACCACTTGATAGCTGACATTGCCGTGTGTGTGTGTGAGATTTCAGCAACATCACGGTGTTCCTCTTTACCCTGGCCTTGAGAATGGTGGGTCGGGGATCGGCTGTGCCCTGCATCTTGCGCAAGGCAGGGATTACAAACAGGTGGCAAGTGACGATGGCAGAGACCGGGTTTCCTGTTGGTAAAGAAGTGACAGATGCCAGAGCACAGAAACATAATGGTGGGTGGTGAGTAGAGGGTGAAGAAGTGTAAAATGGAAAGCTGGATTCAATCATCCAATAACAGTTATTGCCGGAAATCTGCATGTGAAAGCTATATTCAAAAGCAGGCGAAAGCCCATTGTGACATCCTGAAGGAAGTAAATATTTTCGAGAAGATTTTCGATGCCCTGTTAAGGTACGAGTGGAGATTGTCTTTAACTCTCTGCGAGACTGTTTAGTTGTCCATCACTGCACCAATGCCTTCAACACCGGGGCACACTTGACCCACCACTACATGAGACTCATGTGTGAGAGAGTGGCTGAAGGGGGCTATGACAATGCCATAGTGTAACAATGATGAAACCACCCACTTTTGAGAATATCATTAAATACAGCAGCAGCAGCGTGTTATTGGCGGAGCCAGATGATAATAATAAAACGACAATGCAGTTTCACTCAAGGGCATTGCAATCTCGATGCTCAACTTGTGTATGCGTATATACTTTTAGTTTCTATTTGTCAGTATGTGGAGGAATTATGCAGTTTGTATTTATAATCGTGAATATAAACACATCTCATATATGTAACAAAGCTGGGTACACACGTACAAATGCACAGGGATACACGCACATCAAGTGCAAACCCACAGCAGGATCAAAACCAAAATGTATCCTAAAATTCTGGCTTACCCGGAAGTGCAAAAATCATTTTCTTGATGCCGTTGACTGCCGCAGTCGCGAAGGTAGTGGGAAGTCTGCAGGAGCCAAAGATAACGGAACTCTCATTCGGCCGCACACCGCTTGTGACACAGAGGCCGCCCTTCACTTTGCGGTTTTAAGATGTAATCGCAGTGTTCTAGTGCTCTGTGGACCAAATTGTATTTCTCAGAGTAGTGATCAAGCCAAGGTGAAACTATTATATCATTTAGTCTGTATGTTTGAAACGTTTAAAATAGATGACAACCACTATGACAGGCAACAGAGATTTCTGTTGTTTCTTATTGTTGTCGTATGTTCTTGAATTTTTATTTTCAATTAAATTTATTAAGTCGGTGAATATAGGGTTTCCACACATGTTCTAATGACATTTCACTACAACAATAAACCTACGATACAAATTAATAGTTTGCTTGTTTAAATTTTAACACTCAGTAAAGAACGCAAAAATTCACAGTACAAGCATATAAATAAACATGCAGTGACGTAACATCCCCACAGGAATCACACCCTTTGTATCTATGTTCTTTCGCACCGTATGTAGCCAACCGTGAAAATCGGAGGTGAAGGAAGACAACAACAACTGTCAGTGGAGCCCAATGACGAGTGTAAGACGACAGACTGACGTGCCTTGTGTGCCTGAGAGGTTGACAACCAGCATGGTGGCACTCACCCTGGCTTCATGAATACACGGCCAAAGTGAATCTGCGCCTGTAGATCGACGGTTAGAACCTGCTTCAGATAGTCCTGCAACATTACAGAGTGTCACGGAACTTTACAAACACATTTTACGTGGTTCTGCTTTAAATCCTAAGAGAGACAAATGAAGACGCACCACCTCCCCACTGTCTTCTCTCGGGAAACTCCTCCGGGTAAGGGCATCTTGCGGCCAACAAATTAACTACTTTTGGGATACTGTGCACTAGGCGGGGATTGCTTGGCAGTTTTTTTTAAAGGCCTTGTGCACGACGGCTTGCGTTCATGTTTTACGCTCTACGATAGGAACTTAAGCAGACACACCAGATATGAGATGGCCAGATTGCCACTGTCATCCAGTATTCTTGTGAGAACATATCATTCAATTTTCCTTTTACTCAGAATAAGTCAACAAACTAGGAGTAAAATCTACTCAAAATACATGCATATGCCCCAGCAAAAATAATGTAGTTTTAGAAGTAGATGAAATTATTTAAGGGAGAAATAGTCTTTTAACAGACAAAACACTGTCATAATAATGGGAGTTTCTATACAAATGTAGTTATGAAGAGCAGAACTAAGGCGACATTAAACATAGTTCGTATTAGTCAGAGGAATGAACAAAAATATAAATTAAGAGTATAGAACTAGAATGGACATGAAGATAATTAACATCTTTACAAAAGCATAAGGAGTCTAGATACAAATTTATTTTAAAACATAATTCGCCATTCCTACTTAATTATGGTGACAGGTGTTCAATGATCAAGAGGTAATGATTCGTAGTGCGTTACCCCATGATTTGACAACAGTGACAATAACACAACTACAAAGAGAAGCAATTATGTTTACCAGAAAAAATAAAATGTTCAAACAAATGTTAATATTCACCACAGAGCTATCATTAGACCAGATGGAACGAGTCATTCTGAACTCGGAAATAGGTCTACAAATTTTCCATGCAAGTAGACCTAATCATTCACGCATAATGTATTTTTAAACACCTGCAGAAAAATGTACTTCCTTTCAACCACGTTCTAATCCCTCCTCCTCATACAATTCACCCTGAGCGTCAAACAAAACATCCCCAGTAGCTGACAGCCACACGTCTCTAGATTCCTTGCACCCACTGCGAGGTTCCCAGAGGATCAGGCCCTCCCTGGCGAGCCCACCTTCTCGCCCATGGAAACTCCTCCCGACGTGACGATGACATCTGCCTGCGCGAGAGCTTCTTGAAACGCTTGTAGCAAATCGTCCGGGCTGCGAAGCAAATGCATGACACAAATACAGACACACACACCACATACAACCATCCTCACACACATTCTACACATCACACTACACTGCATTTAAAATGCACTACAAATCTAGTTGTGTGTCAAAGTTGCCCAAGTACTCAACTTAAAAGTAACAATTTACACTTCTAAAGTGCCTTTCACCGGGAGGTAAGAAGGCACTGTACAGAGCAACAAGAAAGCAAAACCATGCAGGCTGACACCACGTTTTAAGGAAGGATTTGAATAAACCGAATGTTCAATAAAAGTGAAGTCCATAACCTGGGGGCCACATGAGAAAAAGCCCGGTGACCCATCATCGTCGTACGGAGACATGACCTCGGCACAGACACCACAACGGGCCAGACTCAGATGACCGAAGTACGCTTGTTGGATTATATGGGCGAAGGATGTCCCGTATATGTGAGGGAGCAGCATTATTGAGGGCCTTGTAGGTGAAGAGAAGAATCCTGAACTCGACCCGAAACCGGACCGGCAGCCAATAGAGATATGCATAGCGCAGGGGTTGTACATTCAGCAACAGGCGTGCACATAAGAATTCTGGCAACCGTATTCTGCACACGTTGAAGGCGACGTAACAGTTTAAGGGGGCTGCCAGCAAACAGTGAATTACACGTTACAATTGGAAAAGCACGAGTAAAAATCCTGGCTGGGGGTGGGTTGATCGAGTAATTCGAGACAATACAATTAGTGTCACTTAGTGGAAAACCATGGAGAGATAACTCTTCCCCTCATGGTAACGTGGCCTTTCCACCTCAGAATTGCCTCTGGCAGAGCATGAGTCAGTCTACCGTGTGGTGGCGATTCGTTTTGGATGTACATTTTATAAATACATTACACATTTTTTTATTAACCATGTTTATTAACAGAAAAAAACAATTACCTCAACACTGTAACCTTTGGCACACAGATTCATTAGTATGCAAACAGTGTTCTGGCTGGAGTTATTTGATTTGTAAAATTTTGTTTGCTTCACTTTAGGGAGTCTTCCCAAAACACCCTACATTTTGCCTAAACTGTTTCCCATTTCAGAAGATGTTATAGTACCTCGGGCAATTATTTAAGGCAGATTGGGATGGAATGATAAAATGTGAGCAGGATTTCATGCTTTTAGAAAACCGAGCTAGATAATGAACAACAGCATTCCAATGTGCGCGAAAATAAAGTTTTCAATCCGTGTACATTGTGCACTGTCCATATGCATCAGTAACATGAAGAGTGACAAATAGAACAAAAGCTGAAAACTATGCAAAGACCAATGATAGACGCATGCATAAAATTAACTTGCGAGAGAAAATGAGAAACAGAGATATTATACCAACTGTTAACAAAAGTAAGTGGGCTTGGGGCAGACATATAAATGGAGGGGATGACGGTCGATGGACGAGACTGGTGATGAAATGGCATCCAAAGCAGATGTCATGGAGCAGTGCTTCTCAACCTCCTTCATTTCATGTCACACATTTTAAAACTTGGTCGCTCTTCTCGGTACACCGAACCAAAAAAACATCACTATGGGCTCCCAGGTTAGCCGTTTGCCCCAACTGCGCACGCACGACCAAGGGAGTTGAGCGGACCGGGGGGTGGGGTCTTACAGCTGTCTACCAATGGAGAGGGGGGAGGGTGGGAGGTGGGGAGCCGGATTAGCCAAATAACAGAGAGTTTGCCTGTCCGAGGTTTTCCTTTCACAGAATTCGGAAAATACCACAGCACACCTGGGACGACTCCTGCTACGGCACACTGGTTGCGCAACATTCCCCTAAAAGACGATGACCATGGAGATGGAGCTATGCGTGTAGCTCGTGCAGGAGCAAGATGGTTTGTAGCATCACGGGACCATGTGGGATGATGACGGCGTAAAGAGGCCTCCATATAGGGGTGAGTAAACTAAACTATAATCCATTTTTTATTTTTATGAGGTAAGGCCCACTGAGCTATGCAGCTCTTTTTAGGAAGCACCCTGGCCACAGATGATGGCTCAACAAAATGGCTTATCACGTGTAAATTTATAGCAACCAAATACTCTAAACGCGTGATGTTGATTCTAAAAGTGAAGGGAAATAACCAAGAACCCGAAGAAAAAAACCAGGCGACCACGGAAAGAGCATACAAACTCCAAATATACAGGCATCAGGGTCGGGATCGAACCCACACCCTCCTGTAATACAGGCGAGGTAGTTAACATCGCCACTGCGGCACAAGGCTAGAACAAGGCTGGTGACGAATGTCACTTGCTTTCACTCCTTTAAGGTCCCAGACATATCAAATCATCCTGATTATTACCTCATGAGACACACTGACACCTCAAAGCTAATAACCATTTTGCACCTTTCAGTTTTCACCCTGCTAGTTAACAAAGCTCAGTGTTGGGCGGCGGAGCCACTCAAGACGATATCAGGAAGGTAGAAAAGTCCAGAATTTGGATAGTTGGTCAGTTCTGCCCATGATTTGCATTGAATAGGAAACTTCAGTACCCGAAGAAAACCAATCCATAGGAGAGGATACCACTCAAAGATTCACAAGTACAGGGCCACTACTGTGCTTACTATACTGCCATCTCCTGGTCACCTCACAGCCAGCAGGTGTGAAAATTTCACAAATCTAAAAGGTAACCTGTTTTTATACAATGCGTTTTCGCTATAAAGCGGTTCTTCTATTTGGGAACGATTTTCGCACAACACGGAACGAATGCCGCTATAACGCGGTTCCTGAGCGAGCAGCTAAGCGGTATAACACAGTCTGGGGAGTGATAGAGCATGCCGACGTACCCTCATCTCAAATCTTTGGTCCTGAAATGGGATGACTGCAGGCTGATTTTATGGTGCAAGTGTGATTGAGTAGAGCAATTCCTCGCTTGATGCGATTTTGCTTAACGCGGCACTTTTCTGGAACGCATCGAATGCGTTAAACAGGGAATTACTGTACAATCCATCAAAAACATGCAAGAGCCATCATAGCCCAGATGGTTGGTCCCCATTACGACCGAGAGCTCTATTTTAATGTCCATGGGTGAAGGCCTCCCCACCCCACATCAGTCATGGGGGTTGACTACGCTTTATCCCACTGGCCAGTGCAGGATGGCGAAGGGAGGGATACACATAACTAGTTCACGTTTCATTCACCAAAGATATTAGTGATGGCTGTGAAGTGAACTCGAGTGGATGGGTGCACGGCGCAGTGCACTAAAAGCAGCGTTCCACCCCTAGTCCCCATTATAGCAATTCTAAAGTTACTGCCAATGGCTCAGGACCACCCAAGAGAGATGAGCACCACTTCATGCTCATTTGAATATTCAGAAAAGTTGGCACACAGTTTCATATAGACTACATCCATAATCAGTGTCATCTGCTTTCCAAGTATGAATACTCATTCAAATGATCCAGCAAGCCTATCCCTGTACTTTCACACAACTTCTGATAAGATGCACATTCCGGTGAGTGTGCTTGGAGCAAAAGGGTCCCAATAACTGTCAACGCATCTGCAGTCTGGTGCATGACGGACACTGTCACCGGTCAGTTCTCTAGACATTGGGGTTTAAGTGTGTGCGACATTAGCGGTCAACATTTGTTGTGACTAGCGTTGACACGACGGAGGAAGCCATGAGCTTCAGTGGTGGTGGAGTGGCGGGCGAAGCGGCCGCGTGCGCGAGGCGTGGCCGAGTGCACACGTGTGGGTGCCCGTGCGCACTAACGTGGGTGTGATCGTACTGGTCTCGCACGATGCCCATGTCAATGGTCGGGAAGCCCTGCTCTTGGATGGCCGCCAGCAGCGTGGTACGGTTGCTATCTCGGATCATGCCTGGGTGAAGGGGCTCCTCTGGATTCAGAAGCTGTAGGACAGCACACAAGACAAAGATCCCCCTGTGAGCCTCAACAGACTGAGGGCAAGTGCTGGTGGCAAGCAGCTACAAAGGTTGGCACGGTACATGAGGGGGTGGGTGGCCAGCACCACGCCCACCGCCTTTATTTCTCCCCAGTGGTGATGTTTACACACCACTCCAGGTACTCATTTGAGGCTGAGGCGACCTAGGGGAGGCTCAAAACCAGTTCGGATAATCATCACTTAGCATCTTGACTTAGAACTTTCGTGAAAGCAGGCATTCATATTCTTTGGGTCTTTCGGTAAAGTCACGTAGATAGGTTCCAAGAAAATAACAAAATAACAAAAAACTACGAAGGTTCGATCGCAACACAAGACGACCGCTTGTGTTGCCTGCATCACATGACGACCGCTTGTGTTGCCTGCATCACATGACGACCGCTAGTATTGCGATCGAAACGTCATAGCTTTTTGTTATTTTGTTATTTTCTTTGAACCAATCTACGTGATTTTACCGAAAGACCCAAAGAACATTACTTAGCAGTTACCGCATCGCATACTTTCTGATGCACTTCTGCGGCCCTCTGGAATGCTCTTCCGATATTAGGAAGCCACTAGAGCTACACACTTTTAAATCTAGATTGAAAACTAATTTCTTTAGAACTGCTTTTTGTATTTAGTTTGTCGTCCTTCCCCGAACCTCCGATTAGCACGGTTGGCTACGCACGGTGCGAAAGAAGCTCAACATACACATATACAGTACGCTAACCGCGACACTACAGCACATGCACACCCAATGTTAACATAAAATGTGGGGTGGCCTGCATCACAATTAATTTCCTGAAACAAAGTGGGAGAGATGTTTACAAAACCATGTTGTTGATCCAGAGCAGCAAACATTCTTGCAATTATGACCAAGATTGACTTATCATTGTTGATCTATTTTTGTAATTGTCTTGTCCAAATCTGACAAATGACCATTGCAGCTGTTCCACTTATTTATAGATAAACACAGTCAGTTTGTACCCATGTACTCATGGTGAATCCTACAAGTCAGAAAACATAAAATGATGAAAGAATATCCATTTCGGAATGTCCAACGGACCTGTATGCATCAGCCGATCTATATTGATAAAGGTTTGATTTCTGGTCATGTACACCCCTAAATTACTGGCATCTCAGCGATTTAAAACTCCACTGCTAATGCTTTGTAACACACTTTCCTGAAACAGTGTTTCAACAACTCGACAGAGAAAACCAGAGCAAAAGGAGCTGGGATTGTGTCTGGCCACACTAAACTCTCAATGGTCTCAATAGCGGTTTGCTAGCAGCATCGGACTGAAAATGTGTATAAACAGGAGCTCTTTGTCTCTGTGTATGTTGTACAAATGAAATGGCCTCTGCTCTGTCTGGGCTGACATTGCTATTAGTCTGCTTTTGGCATTGTGTTTACATGGCACCCATCCTGGGCTCCTTCCAGTTTTTCACCCTGCCAGTTGACACAGCTCAGGGTTGTGCTGCGGATATCAGGAATGTCTTGCATCGGGATGGTTGGTCAATTCCGCTCATGTTTTTGCATCGAGAGAGAAAACTGGAGTTGCTGAAGAAACCAAATGCATACGAGAGGCTACCACTAAAAGGCCGACACAGACAGGACATGCTGTGTGCAAACCGAGTACACTGTGATGCGTTACCTCATTGCCAGTGGACAGCACGGCCACCACAGGCAGCCGGTGCACCTCCACTTTGGTCGCCCCCACAGTGGCCAGCAGGCCCACTTCTGCAGGCCCCACGTGCGAGCCGCGTGACAGCACACACTCGCCACGCCGGATGTCCTGTCCAATGCACCTGTCCATACAAATGCACGCGTGAGAATAAAGTAATTTGACGTGTGATTAACGCCGAGTCAAACCATCTACAGGCTCAAGCGTTGAGGCAATGCCAATCCCCATTACTATGGTGGGGTCAGTTTATCAAATGGACGAGCACTGTTGACATCAAATGAAGTGGTACTTAATTGAGACTGGACGAATGATGGGCTGAGAAAGCTTGAGTACAAATGCATGTGTGGGTGCACGTAAAGAACAATGGGTACATTTTCACAAGCAGTGCAATATGTCATTAATGTATTTGTTACAATATATAATGGGATCTATCCTCATTATTTAAGTTATTGCAAAAAAACAAGCCAAGTCACGTTAGAATTAAGAAACAACTTGATGACGTTAATAAATAAATCAACTACCATCCTGTATCTCTATATATCGGCCTACTACCAGCCTTCGACTTATGTTAGTCACTGTTATGACAATTAGAATAACTACGTCAACAATGTGAGGCCTCCAGTCCTCACCGTATGTCCTGTCCTGGCCGTGCCTGGGACAGGATCCGCACCTCGAGCTCCTCTGCTCCCTGTGTGAGCAAAGCAAGAAATCCACGGTAGCTGTCACCAGTGAAATACATGACAGGCAAACAACACATCAATGACAACCCTACAATAACACTATAGCAAAAGCACGTATTTGCACATTCAATTGAAGAATAAAACTTACAAGCCAATTTTAAAGTTATAACGCATTGTCATGTTATTATTTATAAGCACTTTAAGAATAATACGCAGACATGAGTTCAAATAAAGTAATTAAATTGGGTGTATTTTAATATGTCAAAAGGGATTTCCTGCTCTAAATAAGCATTCAGGTGGTGCTCATCTCCTGCTAACAGCCCTGAGTCAGTGGTGGAAATTCTACCTTCCTGTGGCAAGGGTGAGTTTATACATAGGACAACCAAACCTCAGAAGGATGGACTTAGTAAATTCCCAAACCAGGATGTGAAACCACAACCTTCCGATTGAGAGCTGCTCACTCTACCACTGGGTCACAGATACTTTTGTCCTCCACCTGTCAACTTCCCTTTAAGTGGTAAAAGGCACAGCGTAAGATTAAACGGCACATCGCATTTACATTGCAGCACTGACATTACTTTCTCTCTGCACTTCTAAAAAAAAACTGCCCATGAATGTACGTGCCATGGTCCCACAAAAATGTGCTCAAATACATTGTGCACAGTTGTTGAAGTGCAATACGAATCGTCACTCTTGTAAAATAACTCCGGATATGTATGTGGGCATTAAGATTAAGCAATGCATTTTTTCCCTTTTTACGAGTATAGAAGATTATCGGTCTTAACACATTAACTGGGTGGGGGTTGTAACTAGTACACACATGTGATTTTTGCAGCAGTTAATTAAACTCTATTGCCTCAAGTGCTAATCATGCTCTTTTCAGCTTCATCAGTTTCTGTGAGGTAGAGAGGAGGGGAGGAGACAAAGATGTTAAGGGGGTGTTGGGTTCGAGGATGAGTAGGGGGGGGAATAACGTAGGTGGGGGGGGGGGGCAAAATCTGTACAGTATCCATACATGCAGTCAAGCGCACAACGGTATGTATGTTGAACTTCTTTTGCACCATATGTAGCCAACAATGCTAATCGGAGGTGCGGGGGAAGGAAAACAAATTAAACACAAAAAGCAGTTCAAAAGAAATTCCTTTTCAATCTAGATTTAAAAGTGCGTAGCTCCAGTGGCTTCCTAATATTGGAAGGAAGAGCATTCCAGATGGCCGCACCTGATATTTTCATCACAAGCGTGGGCAATCACCACCTCCACAGCAACGCTCGCTACACTATACCTACTATAATCACCCAGGAATATCTGTCCTTAATGCTCGTGACGTCACTCCACATCGACCAGCCCCCCTCATTAATATTTATGAGCAGGTGACGTCCTCCAAATAAACACCCCCCCTCCATTATTAATAATCATGAGCCGGTGACGTCACTCCACATGGAGCACCCTCCCCCCTCATTAATAATCATGAGCAGGTTTGTTGTCCTTCCCCGCACCTCCGATTCGCACGGTTGGCTACGTACGAAATAAGTTCAACACGCACACATATTGTACATTTTATACACAATTTTGCTCTTGGCATCATGTCATGAGAATAATTATAATAATTTAATCCCTTTGGAACCCTTGCAAAGCAATTTCATCACCTCGTGCTAGAGAGTGGTCTGCAGAAGGAGAAATCACATGACTACTTATTAAATCTCTCAAGTGATGTTTTATCCACACTGGATGGCATCCTTTTGGCATCTGCCCTGCCACAGAGAACATTGTATTCGTTGCACGAGAGTCAAACATGATATTTTGAAATTTTACGAGCTGAAAATGAGCCAAATTAATTGTAAACCAAATTTTATATGGGGTTTTTTGTGTACAGTCATTGGTCATTGGGCTGAGACGTCAATTTGCTACCCTGGAGAACCCAGTTCAATCAGGGGCTGCTGCCCGGATTCAAATCCAGTTCCTTAGCCATGCCAGTTCAGCGCTCTGACCTCTGAGCCACCTGACCTCCTCCGTAGTACATTTTAAAATACACAGTATCAAATATATACTTTTTGTATATGATCCTTATGGCGGTACCCCGGGGTACCAAACAATACAAAATGGCCGAGGCAATTCAATGTTTTATTTCTGGTACACTACAATAGTTCCAGGGGTGTACTTAACTCCGCGACTGGGGTAGCAATCAATCAGAAATCAGTGCTACTCTGCGATGTCGAAACGCAGCGAGGACAATTGCACTGAAACCCTGAAAGCTCGTATGCACCGTGGTGGTGCATCGTGTACAGCTCGTCGAGTGTACACGTCGAGACGAGTCGATTGCCGCATCGCCGACCATCAACAGACTAAAAATGACTGCATCACGGACATTATGCGAGAGCCGGGGTACTATGGAACCCCGGGGTAACCCCCATAAGGTTCATGTGTACGTCCTTAGTTTATAATGCATGTGGTTGGTAAAAGCAATATACCAGCTAGGCGTTTTCACAGATTACGTGGTTTGGGATTTCCACATTAACTGTATGTGTGTGAACATGTTTTATTCATGAGGTCACTGATGCATAATGTTACATTCCCCATTGGGTACAAGTAGAGCTTCTGACCAATTGCGCTGCACACATTACATCGCATGCGTTATACACAAATTGTAAATAATCTGGTGGTGTGCACACAAAGGCTTACAAACAAACAAAAAGGCATTTTAAAACGTGCTACCAATATCAGCTACCGTCCATGCATTTTTCTTAGAATCTGGAATCTGCACCTATTGCCACACAGCAAATTCACGTGGAGACACAAACAGACGTTGTGTTATCTTGTTAATCATAATGCTCCACAACAATGCATAGCAACATTTTCTAAAATCTAGGGTTTTTTTGCATTAAACTGGGCCCCAGTGTGTAGACCGAGTGCTCTTGCCAACAACACCTGGTAACGTAGCAATAATCATTTAACTGCACCGACTTGGCTGACGAAACCCATATTTGACTTGCTGTTTTAAATAAATCCTGTTGGATAATGTCCGTCTAAAAAGCCTATTAGGGCTGATGTGCTGAAATATAAAAATATTTTAGCAGACGTGGATAGATGTCTATTTATTTGTTTTGAGCGACTGCACGACTTCTCACAGCGACCGAGTTAACAATCTCATCCAGCCACAAAACGTTGTATCCTCAGGGCTGATTTAATAGCAAATTCCAATTTTAAGCAATACCACTTTGTGCAATCATAAGTGGTTGGGATGATATAATCAAATGCTCTATTATTAAGAGCCACTGCACACCAGTTTGGTTGGGCAAACACACGTCTGTTCTATGGCAGAGTTATAATCCAAGGTGTAGGAGGCATCAATATTATTAACATTGTATGATACATCTTCGCATCTCCTTTGGCCAGAAGCAGAGAGCCCTACCTACCCCGCATTAATTTATATGAACGTTGACGCAAATGTATTGAAATAAATAAATGTTATCCGTTGGATTTTATTATTCTGCTATGCGTGATCTTGAACTTAATTTTTTCGTAATATCATGATTTATTGCCAGCCTTCAAGCATTGTACTTGAATCTCGCAATTTTGTCGTGAAAGATTTTGGCAGGAACCGTGATGCTCGTGTAAAACAATTCCACTCGTAATTTTTGGACACATGGGAATAAACTGGCATAAACTGCCATTTTCTGGTAAAATCACAGCCTCATGCCGACAACACCTCACAAGCGCTGGTGCTACACCCATACAAATACTTCAACCCACAGTATTGGGTGGTTTTGTTATAATGCCGGTAGGATTGGTAAGACAGCCTAATGATGGGTCAATAGAATATCCAATCATGTGAATGGAGATACAGGAACCACCACTGAAATGACAAGTGTCCATAGGATCTGTTCGATAGAATCCCCATTCATTCAAATGGCAATTCCTGGGTCTCAATTCAAGAGTGGAATTCTCGTGGAGATTTCAAGGATCGCCACACTACATGGCATGATCCTTTGGCAATTCCCAACAGGAGTTCACATTTATAAGGCAGATGCCAGTCTGTCCATAGGACAAGCACTATTAATTTTCACAAAGTGATTCATGGCAATTGCTAAGCATTATCATCATCATTGTGAACGTTATGAATGATGACTGCCACTACAAATCTTTTTTTTTTACAAAAGTCCATGTAAACAAAGGCAACAACACTGATAAACATCATAGTTACACGCATAGGTCACAACACACCTCTTATGAGTAGGTAGAAATAAGGGATGAAGCTTTAGCCTACTTTATGTTTTCAAGTTATAAGGCAGCATTTATATTGATGGTGGTACATTATTTTTGGTGTATGCTTGCACACCACAGCCAGTAGAGATCCACTAGGCTGTATATGAATATAAACAAGATCCTGCATTGTTAAAACAATGTTTACTCCATTAACTGTAATTAGTTCTGACGTTACCTAACATATAAAACCACAAGCAATAGACATGCATAACTCAACATGTAACAAATATATAACTACAATTTAATTATTCATCTCACGAATACATCAATTATATCCAGAGAACTTTCAAAATGCCAAATGCACTTCAAGCGTTTTTATTACCATATTTACCGTTGTTACACCTGTCTTTCGCAATTACCTTTATAAGTGTTTCAGACCAAAGCCTAGGCACAGTTTAATGCTTTACTCGAAGTGTTGCAGCCAAGCCACTCGGCGTTGCACTAGATTTCACTCGCTGTGCCGTAACTATTTCTGGAAAAGTGATGGAACTATAAAGTATGTTATGCAGAATGTAATACATTGCAAGGGAAATATTTAATATCACCAAAATGTTCTGCTATGTAGCCCAGTTCTGTTTGTATTTCATATCCTACTGCTAATTTCCCTCTAGAATTGTCTGGATTAGTACAACAACATAAACAACACACCACTTAGAAGTCGTATTTCTAATAAAGACTGCAGCTGTGCAAACGGCTGATGCATTTTCTCAATAAATGCTGGAGCATGCACACAGACAATTTTTACAACTTTGCCTTGTACTGCAGAGTTGTCTCTCACTTAAATACCTCTTTATTTTATACAAGCTAGCCAGAAAAAGCTCAAGTTTAAAGGATAAAAAATACATTATCCTTTCTTCCATGTTGTATAATTTGTTATGTAGACAAACATTCTCAAAAGAGACGCACAATGTCTCCCAAACATCCTTGAAATTATTCAATGAACAAACATAAGGGTACAAATTGGCTTATGCAAGTACCATGGCCTTCTTCTGCTTCTGTTACTATCTCTCAGTCACTACTATGTAGTACATTTTGCCTATCGCTCTCCAGTTGTTATCATTATGTGGCCTGCCCATTTACACTTAATCCATTTTGCCCTCAAAGCTGTCCCCCCTCCAAAGATCCATTGGAGAAACACTCTCTTTCCTACTTAGAAAAATCTTCCTTCCCTGAAAAGTTGGATTCATCTGTTGAAGCCTGTGAGAAGGATGATGATGAAGAAGATGCAAAAAATGTCAAATGCTTCTGATCCATCTCTTTTCCTCATCCCTAAGGAATTCTTCTTGCCTGGGCCTTTACGATTGTAGCCTGTGAGTGATTTCTGGTCAACGGACCCAGATGTCGAAAAACAATAATATTAAATTGGACATAAGTCAAGCGAGACTCCTTGTGGACATACGCCACGGAGTGGAGCTAAAAGGGTGTCGTGGTGGCGGGATGTTATCTCCTTCGCCTGGTACGCAGGAGGTAGTGGGTTCAATCCCAACCCTGAAGCCTGTATATTTGGAGTTTGCATATTCTCCCCACGGGCGTGTTGATTTTTCTCCGGGTCCTCTGGGTTTTCCCTCCATATTTAGAAACATGCGTGAAGAGTATTTGGCTGCTGTAAATTTCCCCACTTCTTTGAGTTATCATTTGTGGCCAGGTTGCTGCTGTAAAAGAGCTGTATACTCAGTGGGCCTTACATGGTAAAATAAAAAGTTTAGTTTTAAGTGACTGAATTGGTACATGCCAAGGGTTGCTGCAGGGAAAAGAGACTGAGGCATTACTCCTGCACGTATGTATGTTAAACTTCTTTCACACCCGATATAGCCAACCATGCTAAATCAATTGTAAATTTACAATCCTGCCTATCGTGTCCATGGGGTGATGGTCATAACATACGTTTTCCGATTCCTTGAGAAGTTCAGTGTCTTCCACTGGGATGACGGCATCAGCTCCAGACGGGATGGGTGCTCCCGTGGTTACTCGCATCACTTGGCCTGGCATCACCGTCTGCACAGGCTGAATGATTCACGAAAGAATGTTCTTAATTCTGGTCGACACACAGCAACTCTTACAGTGTCACTCCTTAAACAAGTAATTCAACCAGAGTGTTTCCTAGAGAATTGAGGATAGATTAGATGTGCAATGAAAGTTACGTGACAACTTTCTAAAATGTAAACTTCCTTATGGAAAAGGCTGCATGTCAGAAGACAAGGCATGGTACACAATAGGGCATCATCATCAGCTCTGACTCATCTGTCAATAAGGCTATTTTATAATTAAGATAAGTCAATTACAACGCAATAGGATTTGGAAACTTACTTTTTATTTAAGAATATTTACAATAAATTAGCAAATAATTCTGAAACACATGTGGTCGGTCGTAATGCAAAATGTCCAAGTAATTTCTGCACGACTTCTTCAGTGTAATAATGACGAACAGCTCAAGACACTAATGTCGCACTGGCAACTCAAATGGGTCATGCCTTTACAGTGATGTTTGGCGCTCGATAGAGTAGCACAGAGCGATAACGGAGCGATGCTTCTGTCGGCACTCTCACTCCCTCGCGATGTTGCAAAGATCTCTACGTTTGCACCGGGCTTTAAATGGCAATGTCAAATCACGAGAGAGAAGCTCGCGCAAGATTACACGCATTTGTCAACACCCATTCCCTCAGCTCAGCCAACACTGCGGCTAAGATATGCCGCATATCTCACTACAAGCAGAACAAGCAGAGAGTGTACACTGGCTCAAAGAATTGAAACACAGCATCACGATAATGTATCTGTGATAAAACAATGAATAAATATACTGTATTTCCAGGAATCAATGCTCACCAACACCTATATCCATTGTCTGTAGTGAAAATAACACAATAACCCATGATAATCTTGCTCCTGTACAAATAATTATCACCCAAACACAAGCATACCAGTTAACATTAGGACTGAGGCAATTTTTTGCGATGTGTAAATATAAGAATAGGTTTATCCCCTTTTTTTCTGGCCACAAAACAGGTGTTAAGATCTTCTTGGTTCTTTCGGTAAAGTCACGTAGAAAGGAAGTAATAAAATAATAAAAATAAAACATAAAATAATTCTCACGACGTTTCGGCCACAACGCAAGCAGCCGTCCTCAGGTGAAAACCAGGTCTGTCAGGGAGACAGCGTCTGAATGAAACAGCACACGAGCTTGGAGCATATATATAAGCTGAGTTGGAAGGGGGGGAAAGGGCGCTTCGACGAAAGAATTTGCATATCAAGAGGAATTTAGCATATTTATGGCAAATGCAGGAATGTGATTAGTACTACATATGCCCGTGTATTATGCAGGACTAGCAGCATCAAAGAGAGGGGATATGGGAAATGCAGGTATGTGAATACTGTAGTACTAATTATGCCCGTGCATTATGCAGGATTAGCAGCATCAAAGGGAGGGGATAGGGGTAGCATTAATAAAGGGAAGGAGTGTTAATAGTATGTAGCTGCAGTAACTAAAACCAACACGTAAACAACTAAAGTATAAACTACATAGTATCATCAGTATACTAACTATACTCTACAATAAGCTGAGTTACTAACAGTAAGTAATACATTACAATTCTACGTCGTAAAAATTATATAATATGCTTCCATCTAAACTTTATTCTCTTACATCACACGAGTCGACACCGTACTATATACTGCCATAGACAAACCCAACATTAAATTATATACTGTATTGCTATAAACTGGGGTCACAAAAAAGATCTCCAAAATCCTGATTAAACACAAGATCCAGGTCCGATTCAACACAGTACATAAAATCCGTGATCTGGTCCCGTCTGTAAAAGATGTGGTTCCAGACATACAGTACCCTGGCATCTACAAACTAAGTTGCCTCTGTGGTAGCAGTTACATTGGAGAAACCAAATGACATGTCTCGGACCGCATCCGTGAACATAAAGCAGACTTGAAACACGGTAGGACAAACACCTCAGCCGTGGCAGATCACTGTTACAATTCAGTGGGCTCACATGACATTGACTTCTCCAAGACAGAGGTTCTCTGCAAGCCATCTGGCTACCATGAGAGATTCGTTCATGAGGCGATCCACATATACAAACACAGAGACAATTTCAACCAAGAAGATGGATTCTGGCTTAGCAAACATTGGAAGGACGTAATAAACAATTTCGGATCTTAACTGATTATGTTCACGTTTACGGTGACTTTCAGACCGCGTTCCACTCACTGGCATTGTATTCTCCGCAAGGAATGGATTCTTTGCTCCGCTGCAAGTTTCCTCTCACTACTCACCCATTGACATGACGGTCAAGGGTACAGTGTACAATAACAAATAGTATAATATTTATATGCTTAATACAATGTTCAAAGTAATATATAGTATCGTAATTGTATAGTGAATATATAGCAGTGTGATATACATTAGGGTGGGTAGAATAATACATAGTGTTATATTACAATATATAAGGTATAGGGTGGTTTATAGCAATACAGTATATAATTTAATGTTGGGTTTGTCTATGGCAGTATATAGTACGGTGTAGACTCGTGTGATGTAAAAGAATAAAGTTTAGATGGAAGCATATTATATATTTTTTACGACGTAGAATTGTAATGTATTACTGTTAGTAACTCAGCTTATTGTAGAGTATAGTTAGTATACTGATGATACTATGTAGTTCATACTTTAGTTGTTTACGTGTTGGTTTTAGTTACTGCAGCTACATACTATTAACACTCCTTCCCTTTATTAATGCTACCCCTATCCCCCTGCCTTTGATGCTGCTCATCCTGCATAATGCACGGGCATAATTTGTACTACAGTATTCACATACCTGCATTTCCCATATCCCCTCCCTTTGATGCTGCTATTTCTGCATAATGCACGGGCATATGTAGTACTAATCACATTCCTGCATTTCCCATAAATATGCTAAATTCCTCTTGATATGCACATTCTTTTGTCGAAGCATCCTTTCCCCCCCTTCCAACCCAGCTTATATATATGCTCCAAGCTCGTGTGCTGTTTCATTCAGATGCTGTCTCCCCGACAGACCTGGTTTTCACCTGAGGACGGCTGCTTGCGTTGTGGCCGAAACGTCGTGAGAATTATTCTATTATGTTTTTTTTATTATTTTATTACTTCCTTTCTACGTGACTTTACCGAAAGAACCAAGAAGATGAATCCCTGCAGTCACGAAAGCTTTAAATCGAGGTGTTAAGATGTTAAAACACCAAACTGAAACCTTTAACAAGGAATCATGTCTGCATTACCAACGCCTTTTGGCATCCTCTGGTCTAACACCGTTTGAGACGAGGCTCAAAAGGAAGCTGTCTCTGGTGTGGACCATTCAGTTTCAAGGACAATGCATATATTATCAAAGTATGTTTTTTGTTTGCATTCTGACCACAAGCATTGTGGTTACTGCAGACATGATTCCTTGTAAAAGGTTTCAGTTTGGTGTTTTAACATCTTAACACCTGTTTTGTTGCCAGAAAAAAGGGGAAAAACCTATTCTCATATTTTGGTACTGGCAAAGGAGGTCCCATGATGTAAATATATGCCTTGGTATGTTTGTCCAATAACAGTTGTGTGGTGGTGGTTAATATGCAGGTACCTGCTTTCCAGCATGCGACTCTCCAATCACAATGCGATCCCCTGGCCCATCAGCAGCTGCACACAGACAACAGAGACAGCAGGACGCACACAAGCTAACAGGCACACGCTACCCACATGAAGCCTTGCAAACACCAATTGTCCAGCAGCTTGCACACATCCAAACAAATCAGGATAAACATGCTGGAACCATAGCATGATGAGAGCATGTCGACACTTCCATGTCACCGAGTCACATTTCTTGTTATTTACCTCCACATGATGCGTATTATTCTACAGAGTGTAAGACTGTGGTGATCCATAAAGACCGTACAACATAAAGACGCAACGCCTGATCCACGAATATGAGAGACATCACGGCGATGATACACTACTCCGCTGCTTCTGACGCGATTGTCTGTCTTGATAACCTGAATGTGAAATTGTAGTTGTTGCTCTGCAATCTGCATCAGTAGCCATTCGAAGGAAGAAGATTCCACACACTAAAAACTTGAAGGGGCGACTTTGCACACAAATTTGCAGGCCAATCAGGAAGCATGTCGATATCGGGAATTTACATCCATGTTAACATGTTATTTCAGAAATTCACTTGCGATTCCATGAGTTGACATGCCTCTACTATAAGCTAACAATAATTAACTCGGGTGTACATGAGGCTGTATGAGATGTTTGCATTACTTGTGAGTTCACAATATAATTATGTCTTTGAAAGTATGTGCATGTACGAAAAGCATCTAACATAACACAATGCAAGAAACTGCACGAAAAACATAACTAGCTACAGCCCTCTTTTAGCAAATTGGAAAGTTGATCTCTTGGGGGTATGATGTGAATACCAATTATGGCAGGAGTGAAAACCAATTTTTACTGCTACTTGTAGAGTAAAGTTGGCATATGCAGTGAAACGTTAATTGCCCATAATATTCTGCATAATCTGTGTTTGTCTTGCCTAATGCTTGGTCTTGTCAGGAAGTGCCTTACCTCTGACAGCATAGCCGTCCTTGATGGAAGCAGGAAATGGAGGCAGATTGTCTTTTGCCACCACATCCTGAGCCAACACTCTTCCAAGACCGTCTGCAGTGAGTGACAAATCCATGTCAGCAAACAATCACCCCACATCTCAACCCAAATAAGCAAGTCCTGTACAAAGCCCTATTAACCAGAGGCTGGCACACAACTAGTGTAATAAATTATGTAAAATCAAGAGCAGAGTTTGGAAATACGAGTAGAAATATGTCTTTGTGTAATAACCATGCCGTCAAATTACGAGTCACCGACTCGAAGTGCAGAAGACAAAACGTTGGTAACATACTCTCAGCAAAAAAATAATCGGTGTTCCCAAAACCAAACAGACAATGTCTCTCCATAGTACAACAGTTGACTTTCTACAAATTGAAATACTAATCGTACTGCCACTGAATGGATCATTGGCCAAGTTTATCCCTGGTTGGGAGTTGAACTCACGATCTCCTCCGAGTCTAGTGCTCATGTGTTAACCAGATTAGGTGGTGTAGGTTGGGTGTATCACAACCCTCACCTTTGTAATGCAGGTGCTCATGGTTGAGGATCGGTGCCGTGTCCAGCACAGTGACGAAGGCCTTGTCCATGGAGGTGAGAGGGAAAGGGGAGGAGCGCGCTCGCCTCGCCACCTTCGTTACGTCCACCGCACTGCGCGCTACGCACCGCACCCCACACACAGGACACACCACCCCACGCACACATCGCGCACCAAATCTAACGGCATGTTACATACCAGCGTACGCCACACACATCACTGAGACGGCACACCACAATACAAAACAAAGATCCCCTATGTAGCCTTAACAGACTAATCTTGATTTGACTGTTGGGGCAAATGCTGTTAGCTAGTAGCCCCTATGAAGGTTGGCACAGCACACTAGGGGTTGGGTGGCCAAAACCACGCCCGACCGCCTTCGTCACTCCAATGGCAATGGTTTTTACACACCGCAACCAGGTACTCATTTGAGGCCGAGTCGACCTAGGGGAGCCCCAGGACCAGTTCAGATAATCAAAGTGGTAATCGAACACGGGTTGCTGGATTCATAGCACAGCACGCCAACCACTACGCCACGACAATAGCGAACACAGTAACATGCTTACCAAAGGGCACGCACTGCACAATACGTAACACACAACCACGACGATGGAGTAGTCAGTCAAATTTTCTCTCGCAACACTTGGCTACGTTGGTGGATCCAGACAAAATGTAAATTTCACATTCCTGTAATGCAGGGGTCCCCAACTCCCGGACTGCAGACCGGTACCGGTCCGTGGCCTGTTAGGAACCAGGCCGCACAGCAGGAGGCGAGCGGTGAGTACGCGCGTGGCCTGCCAATTATTTTATTTACCACTTCCGTCCGCGCCTCTTTCCCACACTTGTCTCAGTCACAGTTTTGGTAAGCCCACAAACAACTTACCCTAGCCAAAATGAGTAAAAATCAAACGTCGCTGGAGAGCTTCTTTGAAAAGGGGGAAAGACCCATGAAAGACCCGTGAAAGACCCGTTCCCTGGTGCCAAAAAGGTTGGGGACCGCTGCTGTAATGGGATCCTGTCTCTGCAGAGGTCAAGCACTGCTGACTTCCCACAAAGTGGTACTTATTTTATGAGTCCCAGAAAGGATGACAGGCTGAATAAAGCCTCTGCTGGAATTTTAACTGACTTTCAATTCGTGAGTTAACCAAGAGGTTAACAGTACCAATGACTAAATAATGTTATATTTATATATTCTTTGACAAAATAGTTTAAAATTTCCCGTACCTTTCAGGTCAAAATGAGATTGATAAGCATATGTTTCTTAAACACTGTTGCTGTACCTCGTTCACTCTTGCATCTGCAAACGTGACCATGTTTCCCCATTTTTCAGCCCTCTACTGGGCTCATGCTACAACTCACAAATCAATTTCACGATTGCTCTTGTTGTTTCCAAGACCCTACAAAGGCTTGCCCACGTGTCTCATCTCAGTCGGCTCTCCGCTTTGGTAATCAAGGCCTAGGATGGACACCTCCAATGAACCCTTTGCAGTGGGAGTTCACTTCTCATCCACCTCTACTGTTTAGAACTCCCCACCTCCTCCCTCTGATCTTAACTTGTTCAAGTTCAGACTTTTCTCCACTTACGTAGGTTTTCAGAGCAAATAATAAGCTTCACAATTGTTTTTTTGGTTAAGCCACAATGATTTGGCCAAATATTTGTCCTGTAACTCTCCAACACCTGACACAGACAAACAAATGAAACTGGCACGTGTACAAGCGTCTAACACTCCAATAATTATTGTTCCAGTTTACCGGTAATTTGAACGATTCTCAGAACCACGAGCTATCAAATTATTTCGCTATCATGATCCATTTCTCCTTGCAATATAAATTTGTTGCCAATATCCTCTTGCATTAGTTCCACATGTAAAGAATTCTCCCTCTTCCTGACCATCCTTGAAATTGCAAACTTCTATTGTACAGCAACTTGAGAAGCAATCATCCTGAGATAACTTATAATAAAAAAACATGTGTTTGACTATAACAATAGAAGGCGATATTGTACGCCTCATTAAACAAATATTAAAAGACAAATTAAAAGTAGCTTGACCATGATCACGTCTAATTTATAGTTGTTCAAACACTAAATTAATTAGGAATCATCCATTGCACAAAAGTAAGCAAACATAAACATATGATGTTAATGTCTGTAGGTCTGTCTCAACCAATATAAAACCTGACAAAGCACCAGACTGGCATCATGCCATCAATGCGGATGCAGAAAAAATTAACCGTGAACATTGTATTTCTTGCTCAAATGTAGCAGTGAATGGATTACAGGCAAGTTGAAAGTACAGGAATAAAAGTGATAATATGCTAACTCCTTCGCATAAACGCCAAAACAGTTGCTTTCACAAAGATGGGTGTGCAATCCTCACTCGAAAACTTATTTTTGCGTATTTTAACATCCTTAAATTGAAATTTTAAAAAATCACTTGTCAACACATTCTGTAATTAAAAAAGAATGGGTTTAGTCGTCTTCTGGCATAGGGCAAGTACAGTATGTGTAAATTACAGGTCAAAGGTTTAAGTTTGTAAGCCACGTGACAGCTTCAGGAGGAGGGCAGCGCACTAATACTGTCCAGTTCAACCGGGAACGGGCCTAGTGGAATGGCGTTGTCTGCGATATTGTCCATTGTTTGGCTGGGGTAGCCACAAGACACTGCACTGTGTGGGGTCATCTTTAATGTTACACTCGTGGAAGTGGGAGTGCACAGCAACCAGTCGCTGTTCTGAAGCGGTTGATGCAGCACAGTTTTTTTGGCAGACCAAAGCCAACGGTTTTAGTTAGAGATGATCAATAAAGTGCAACTTGCGGACCCTTATTTGAAAGCTATGTATACAACACTGATACAGATGTTTGTTCTTAGGAAATCAGTCAATTATGATGCAAACCTATTACTGATTAGAAGCAGGGGACACCTTCGGATAGATAATAATGACCACTGAATTATCGTTGTGTTAACGAATGAATGGCCAATGGGTAGTCATGGATTAGAGGAGTTACAATGAATACACGAGCGAGCAATGCAGCAGCAGTGTTCAAGGCTCAAATGAATACGCTGGTTGCGCCGAATCTGACCCAGCAGCAGAAATTATGGGTGAAAGGATTCTGGTGCCCTCACAATTCAATTAATGATATTGCAATGCCGGATGAAAACAGTCTAATGAGGGTTGTTTGTGAGAGTTCGATTCTTGCCCATGTTAGCCATGGCCAGGAATCGAACTCATGTCGTTGAGTGCAAAGCAGAGTGTACTAACCAATGCGTCACTGCCCCCCCACCCACGTTTCATACAAATCAACAAAACATTGATTATTACACATGTGATTTCATGTTTGTGTCAAGAGATACAAGAATTGCTATTGATGGATGAATACAATAAATATCAGTTCCAGCAAATGTGGAAGTTTTATCCTCCTATGACAGGGTCAGTCTCTCCATATGGCCCTTGTTAAATTCCCATACAGAGGTACCCAGGAACTTATCCTGCCATTAACTTCCACCTATCTCAAATGCAATACAGTCTTCCCTTTGCTTCTTTCCAATCCGTGTGCACAAAGCAATATATGACCACGTATTAGGTCTATCTGAATTAAGGTGAGGGGTTAGGACACTGCCTCACTTGGTTTATACATTAACAATGCGTTTCCACTTCAAAGGTGTATTCTGAAAAGAAAATGTCATGCCATACTTTTCATTCAGATATGTACACGTGACCAGGAATGAACTGGAGAGCCAATTAGAATGCACCAACCCACCAGTCGTCCATGACTACTAGAAACCATAGAAAAGCTCCAAATGAATAAAAATGTAAATGTATAGCAATCACCATCTGTCTCAAAGCTCATTTGTTTAATTTGAATATGTAGTCGGCACAGGAGATCTCTTGTGTAATGGTAGCTCAATCTTATTAGGGCAGTCTCACAAGGTCTCTGACAAGTTACACAGACTGAACTACCACCTCCAAATAGCTTTGGATTACAAGTTAAATTATTATGTTTTGAGGGAATACACATGCAAACAGCCACCATTATTTATGCTTGCAGCAAGAAGCAGCCATGTAACATTTAAATGGTTAGGTGCCATAGCACAGTAAAACCTTCTCAAAGCAAGAATCGAGTAAACCGGGATTCAGAGTAGACTTGGATGGCTGAACAAAAAAAATAAAAATAATGAAAAACTCTGACCGCACCTCCGATTAGCATGGTTGGCTACATATGGTGCAAAATAAGTTCAACATAAATGGCAGGCGATTTGTGCACTAAATAAGTTGTGCACAGTAGGGTGTGGTTTATCAACATGAGCAAATTAAAGACACTGTCCCCGACCATTATAGTACTTAAAATTTATACTCTAATATTTTATCATATTTTATACCTACGTGACTTTACCGAAAGAACCAAAGAGTATGGATTCCTGCAGTCACTAAAGCGTCAAATCAAGATTACTAAAAATGTATGTGCATTTGAGGACTTGTAAATCTAAAGCAATATACCTATCTGTATTATGGAATTTAGTAAACTTGTACCATTGCATGCCTCGGTCATCCCCATGCTTTGATTGGACTCTCTCCATTGATTTTACATTCATCTTACAAACACGCAAACACTAAGGTGCACAGTACTGTAGCATTTTATGTAAGGTATTTTTAAATTGTCAATTTTAAATTGTAAATATTCAGTGTATTTTTTTAACTTAAAACTTTCGTGACTGTAGGAATTCATATTCTTTGGTTATTTCGGTAAAGTCACGTAGATAGAAAATAATAACAAATAAAGTGAATAAAAAAAACGCGAATGTAGATTGTAGTCTGGTTCTTAATCAGAGTGAGTGTACTGGCAGTCTATAATGTAGACTTTAGCCTGGTTCCTAACCTGAGTGAGCATACTGGCAGTCTATAATGTAGACTTATTCTTGGTTCTTTCAGTAATAAAAATAAAATCTAAATAAATACAAAACAAAAATCACGTCTCGATCGCAACACGAGCGGTCATCATCAGGAAAAGAGGGGTTAGCCTCTAAAGGCAAACTGTTTATAAAGGTTTAGAGATGAGCGTAGCCCAAAGTGTCAGAAGCATGGGGCGGGGCAGCTGATGTTAATGTAGGAGAAAAACAACG